CATTTATAAATAAGTTCAGACAGATAAAAATGAGAAGGTTTCTATATTTTCAACATCTCTTCCTTGTGTCAAGAGCTATATTTACACACAGCACAGGCAGCTCTCACCACTAGGCATTCATTGGCTGCTATGTTAAGAATTCTATTGTGGGAAAGGGAGAGCATTTATGTGAAAGTTTCAAGATGTATCCAATGGTTTTAAATATTTCCAAGAAGATATATAGTAGAAAAGGATGGTATATGCAGGGCAGGCAAATCTAGCAGAATGTTCAAATCATGTATACTCTTTCATGAGCTTTAACTGAAGTTCAAGACCTAGATTATTTTGTTTATTTTATTCTTCATTAAAGTGCACCTCTGCCTCAAACTAAAAGTTAAGTGCCAAAATCCTATGCATGTGTCTTCTCAAAGTGCTCCCAGAAAGATGGGAAACAGGAAGTACTGAGAATCCTGTGAGAAACTCCGTTTTGGAATTTGCAGTTCAGTTGGTAAACTGTTGCTGCGTGGAACACTAATCTCAAAAGAGGCATCCCACGCAAAAGGGTTTATCCAATCTGAATCTTCCAAACACTTGACAGCGGAGCTCTCTTTCTGTTTAATAAACAGCGAACCAAAAACCCAGGCACTGATGTTTGGAGTTGGCATCCCGTGTTTTGTTGTGAGCTTAAATGTCAGTTAAACTTGTTAAATTTTACCATCATGGAAATTAATGACTTGTATTTCCTATTTTAGGATTGCATGTCCTAAGACTTTACTTTCGTGTCTAGTAGTTTCCTTGCTAAATGGAGAAAAGCTCTTGGGTCTTTTCTGATTAGGAGTAATGATGGAGAGTATCTATAGAAAGATTCAGGGACCAAATAGACTATGACCAGTTTATTGAATGAAAATTAAATAAATTTGATGGTAGACATTTTAAGATAGACATATAATTAAGAAATTCTTGGCACTGTAAATGTGGCTTACTGAATAAAAACATATATCATTTTTTTCAAATGACTTAGGTCCAGTTTCTAGTATTTGTGTCAGGAAGCTGATATCTCCCTGCAACTTCATCATGGATCTGATGCCTCTGGCCTTTTCTGGGGACACAGGCACCCTCCTCGAAGGAGATAAGGAATTCCTTAGGTGTTATACAATTCTAATATTATATTACAAATGTGTTAATAGTTATAGATTGCCTATACCCCTTTGGAAAGTGAATCTTTGTTTTAAACCATTTTGGAATGAATAGGGTGAAAAGTTTGACTTCCAAAATTCACAAACACCCAACAGATAGGAAGAAACAAAGAGGAAAGAGGAAAGTCTTAGAGACCATACATTATTAATAGACAAAAAAGAGGATGACCCTCAAAGGAGACAGAGGGTCAAGAAGAGATGGCCATTCACAAGGAGTCCAAATGTTAACACACATATCAAAGATTAATTATATTAGAAACTAATTGGACTATGAGGGTTACTAAGAGACACCAGAGTGTAGAGATAGCATCCTTGTAGGAAACACTTTTTGGGAAACTATCTGTTCCTAATGACAAGCTTCCAGTATTCCTGTGGTCAGAGAGTTGCTGCTTTGGTTTCCCAGTGCTCTGAGACAACTGGGATCAGTGGCTTCTTGCTTCTTTCTCTTCATGGATATCTCTGCTAAGATGACAGGCTGTGTTGATGCCACTTGATACCTGGAAGCCATGATAGATCAACACCTGTTTAGTGAGTTATGAAAATTAATGTTCTTTCCAAAAGCTATTGTATATTCCTTTTGCAAAGGAAAGCACTTCTCTCATACAAGTAGATATCTGGGATTGTTTCCTTTGAACGAAGGATTTCTGTAACAGGAGTACTATAAACTCAGAGACAGATATTGGGATTCAAACTGAAAGATCAGAGATGAAAAGAAGATAGCCACTAGCTCTTACCTCTACCTCAGGATGAAATGGCTGTCCTGAAACTCGCTTTGTAGACCAGACTGGCCTCAGAGTCACTGAAATCCACCTGCCTCTGCCTCCCAAATTGGTGAGATTAAAGGTGTGCACCACCACCACCTGTCTGAGGGTCTATCTTCTTTTTGGAGCCTTTGGCGAATGCATCCGGTCAGATTCTTTCTTTTCTTGGTGATTTTTCTGGGTAGTTCTGCCTTCTTCTTTGGATGCTTATTTGTCCAAAGATCTTTAAATTCTCCAAGATGGTTGTTTTTATTTTCCTGGAAAGACAAAAGCAAAACCCTTCCCTAACCCTAACTTTGGGGAAGTTCCTATTTTAATCTTTATCAATTTTGATGTATGGTCTCTCCTGTAATTCTTATTTTGTCTTCTAGATCCCTTCTATTATTTGTTGAACAACTTTTTATTCTCATATCTTTACAAATTATACTGAAAAACAAAATAAAACACAACAGCTAATGCCTTTTACTAACATCTCCAGGAGGGTAGCAGCCTCCCTCAGTATATGTGATATTCTTGTACATATATGTCAGAAGCAGAGGAGGAAAAATATTGATGAAACTATGAAAAATGTATCATTTTGGAAACTGGAGATTCTCATTGCTTATGATTTTTCTGCGGGGCTTGCTGTCTAAAAATAAATCCTTAGAGTAGAAATACTGCCGTCTTATATCCCACATAAATATTGGCACTTAGCAACTAATAACTGATAGTGCCAGCTAATTAGGAAAGCTGGAAGGCCAGTTATGATTTTACTTATGGGACAAAATAATGTTTATTTAGAGCTTTCATCCAGCATCACATGACTCCTTAGCTTGCAAGTCATGAGCTATATATAGATGATCATCATTTTAGCAGTTAATACTAAAGAATTCCCGGTGGCATACTAGAACTGATGTGAGTCTGACACACAATTTTCTTATAAGTTAATGACTCTAAATTGAGGGAGTCATGTATCTATTCACTACTCTAGAAATAGGAGCAAAAATAACTAAAAAGTAAACTGAAAAGGAGCAGAAGCATTCATTGGCTGTGGTTAATTCTTAGATCAAATGCCAAAAGTCTACAAGCAGGGAGGAAAGCTCCTCCACCACCCACAGCAGAGAACTCCTCAGTTAAATAGTGTGTGAATGATGCTTTTAACCAATACAGACAATGGAAAACTGGCTGCCTTTCCCCCCCCACCCCATCTCTGCTTTTTTCCCCCCATGAGTTTCTCTTGCAGCAACAAGTTATTGGCAGAGAAAAGTACTAAAAGACACTGCATCATATTTAACCCCCTGAGATCCTTTCTTTCATCTTACTCTGGCTTCCCTTTCTAACATGTTTCAGTTCTGAGCAGGGATTTAAACAAATATAAATGGCCTTCACGATTTCTCCTAGTTGCTTTCCAAATAGAGGTCCCTGTATGGCCAGTAGAACTGAAGGATTCTCTCTGTATTGGCATCTAGTTAAATGGAGGCAACTCCCGAGAGAAATGTGACTTCTCTCATTGGGGATCAATGAGGAACTTGCATATGTGAACCTTGGCTCACTACCCAAAATCCTGTAAATTAGGCAGGTCTTACACATGGGTCCAGCTTCCCAGCAGCTGCTCTGCCATATACTGGGCTACATTCTATTTGGCGGTCAGATGTGTTAGCAAAGACCTGGAATGTCCTTGAGCACTTCTTGCCACACTTCTCCATCTGTATAAAGATGATCAGATGTCACATCTTACCCATTAGCACAAACAGTTGGAAAGTTTGACTCTTCAAACACACTTGATTGTATAATTTAAGTATTAAATTAAAAACACTCCCTGGTGTCTTCTTTTTGAAGACTTATAGGAATGATTCAGCTCTATATTTCTCCAAGGTAAATCGAGTGCCCATTCTGGGTGTGCTGCATTGGAATAGCACCTTGTAAACTATGCACTGCTTGGAACTGTCTGCAGACAGAACTAAGAAAACTGAGTAAGCCTTTTCCCACAAGAATACTAGTATATTAGACACTCTATAAAGCGTAAAATGCCTTTTATTTCAAGTCAGTTGCTCAGATCCCAAAAGTGCTTCTGCATTCTTTGTCCCCTTTTATGGACACTGCACATGGAGGGTGTCTTTAGAAGTGTGCTGAGAGAGGCTTCCTAAAGTTGCATCACTCTGAGCAAAGTAGCCCATGTTTCTCTGTAAGACTCTGTAAGACACTCACATAATGAATTCTTCCTTCACTGAGCTGCCTGCACAGTGATTTCAGAAGCTGCAATGCTCATAGATATCACCCAGAAGCCTGGATTCACAAAAAAAGCAAGCCAGGTGTTTAATACAGGATTGGTTAAGTTACTCTCTGGTCCCACAGAATCTGCCTACATAGATTCTTTCTTATATAGAAGTGTCCTATTTTCCACATCTTTTCCAATAATTGAAGTCATTTTCATTTTTGCAATTAATCAATTTCATGTGTATATGTGTACATGAGTGTATATATGAGCCAGGTGCATGCATGGGCCCACAGAGGTTAAAAGAGGCATTTTTGATCTTCTGCTATTGGGATTGCAAGCATCTGTGATTTGGCATGTGAGTGCTGAGAATGGAGCCTGGGTCCTCCCTCCTTAAGAGCATTAAGTGCTCTTAGCCACCAGGGCTCTTTGCTGCTGTCCTCTTAATGACTGGCATTCTGCCAATGGTGAGATAGAATCTCACTGTATTTTGATTTGTGTTTTTCACATGGCTGACACTATTACATGCATATATTTTTGTCTCTTAAAAATACTCTTATGGACCAGCAAGATTACTCAGTGGGTAAGGGGCCTTGATGCCCCCAGCCTGATGATTTGAGGTCAAACTTCAAAACCCGCATAGGGTAAGGAAGATACTCACTCTTGTAAACCGTCTGAAATTAGCAAATGGACCATGGCATGTGAAATGTGTATGTGTGTATGAATATGCACACACTCATGCATACACATGAACACACACATATATAATAAATAATTTAAACTTCTAAGCTGACTCTTGGGAGCAAGTAGAATTATAGTATTGTTGTTCTAGCACTGTAAGAATTAAGGCTTCTTTTCATTTTCTTGCAGTTTACTAGAACATAAAATTTTAGAAATGGAGGGAAAACACAAAGAAGAGTTGGACACCTTGAAGGAAGAGAAAGAAAACCTTCAAGGTTTGGTTACACGTCAAACATTCATCATCCAGGAATTAGAGAAGCAACTGACCCGAGCCACCAACAACAACAGCGTCCTTCAGAAGCAACAACTGGAACTCATGGACACAGTCCATAACCTTGTCAGCCTTTGCACTAAGGAAGGTGGTAAGAACTTTTTCCTTCTTCAGGCTTCGCAAATATTTTGTTTCGTGCTACTGTTTTCTCTCTTGCACTGATGCCAATGCAAATGTTGTAGACAGACATTACTGAAAAGCATTCCTAAGATTTCACTGACAATTTTCACAACTAAGTTGCATATCAGCAATGCCTTTCTAAAAGAATGTTATGAAAGTTATCTTTCATTCCTGGTATTTTTAACATTGATAAAATATCTTATATTGTGATGGTTATATATGTGACACTATGGTGTTAGATAGGTCTAGTAGAGCAGAAATTAGACAATGCTTCGAATTGGTGCTAGAGTGAGATTGGGGTCATTCCTGTTTCATAATTTTAACAGGTTCCATTTTCAGGAGAGGAGGGGGAAATGCCATATGCAGAGAAAAGGGGGAAAGAGACATTCCTCAATAATTATTATAGTAAGGAAGGATGGTTGTTGTAAAGTATCTACTAAGCTCCCCTGTCCTCTGAAGAAATGTAACAGAGATATTTAAGAACTTTGGGAATGTCTTTGTGATGGTAGAACTTAAAATTTTATATGAATGGAGGATCTGGAGCCACATAACCACATAGCTTCAAGTGTATATGCCTTGAGAAGACAGATATCCATCCATTTACTTCTTTTTCTTTATTGTGTTTGGGACTGGTGTATATATGAATATAAGCATGTGTGGGTCAAAGGACAACTTCATGGCGTTGCTTCCACATCTATTGGGCTTCTGGAGATCAAATTCAGGTTACCATACTCATACAGTGAACTCTTGTCCCCATCTTCCCCAACCATTCCTGAAGCAATGCCTTTTTACACACATCCAGCTTAAGCAGACCCTGGTCCTACAGCTCAGCCCAGAGCTTAAAGTTGGAGCCTGGGGTTGTCTTGCAAAGTTCCACTCTGCAAACAGCCCTTCTGAGTAGAGATGGGGCTGTACATGGAGATGGGTGAGAGCCATGCTTACTTCTGAAACTGATTGTAGTTACTGAGCTTTGGCTTGTGTGACCATTCACGTCACAGTTCAGCATGGGTCTGTAGTGCACAGATGTGGCAGATCCTTGACTCATGATGCTACAAAAAGAATGAAAAGCATTGTTCCATACTTTCATGTATAGATAGGAATACACAAGATAACTTTACATGAAGTGATCTTGCTTTAGAGACATTTCACATTTCTCTGTTACACTCCATCTCCTTACATTGTATATCTCCTTTAGATAGTCTAAACAAGCTTCAGAGATACTTTGTAAAGAAGTCTGTTTTAAACAGTGAGTCTGGAGAGATCCATTTGGGTGTGCTCAGTAATGTGATTGGGAAGAAAAAAACCTGTTAATCAGACAGAGCCTGCCAAACTCCAAGTTAGAATACTCTGGAAGAAAAGCATGGTTGGATTTTGCCAGGGAATTTTAATAGAGCTCATGAGTATTTATAAATTAAGTATTAATATGAGATGTATCTATTCTCATATTGAGATGAATACATTGGGAGGAAGATTGAAAACATATTTTTCTTATCATCCTGAGACTTAAGCACATGGGATTGGGCAGTGTTTTGTGCATGGCTTCAGAAATGTCCAGCACTGGGGATTCTCACAGAGCTCGTATGTCTGCCTACTTATCACATAAACATGTCTTTAAGCTGTTAGAATCAAGGAGTGTGACTTTAAACTTTCTGCTTGGTTTGAAGTTTGATCAATAATCAAGTGTCTTCTTTGTTCATTTATTGAGAAATTATGATGGCGAATATGATAGGTGCCAGCCACCCTGAGCATCCACTCAGGGTGTGGGGAAAGTTTCAGTGTCTGTTCTCTGATGAGAACATCTGAAGAACAGTGGCAATAATAACACAGACTCAATTGTCTGACACTAACACTTCAAATACAGTTCTTCCTTTCAATGGTTCAACCATTAAACAAATCTTGGCTGTAAGAATTAAGATTCTCCATTGAGTTTTGTGCTCTCATAGTTGCAGACTTTTTTCTTGTTAGTTTGTATTCCCTTTGATTTCAGTTAAGTATCCCCACAATTTTAGTTCTCTTAGGAGTCAAACAACAGGGGTACCTCTCACTACTGTCCCTACTGAGATGATAAACCTTTTCATCTTTATATTTTCATTTGAGCCATACATAGTCTTTAGTTACTGTACATTCAAATCTCAAAGTGCAAATACCATAATGCTGAATTAAATAAAAGTTCCTTGATGAACTTTTATTTCATTTTAGTTAAGAAACACATTTCCAACCTTTATTTTATGACCCCAAATTTATTTATTTTATAGGTTTAATGTTTATTAGATGAGTATATGGAATTATTTCTTTTAAATTTATATGCATATAAATATTACAAAATTAATATACCATAATATGACATTAAATTTCCTCTAATAAATACTGAAAGTTCAAATACTGTCATAGTGAACAAGTTATGTGCAACTCACAAAAAGTCTTTTTAACTTTGGATTCAATGTTAATTCAGTCATTTGGGGCATGATCTCTCAAATGCAGTGCCATGCAGTCCACAAGAATACATTCTTGATGAGTTTTCTCTGTCTGATAGGTAGAAAATAAGTGGCAAGATAATTTTGCCAACTTTGCCATGATAGGGAAAGAATGAAATGACATATTTAATCTAAAGTAAAGCACCCAGTCCTGATGATGTAAATCAGACACTAAGTTTTGCTCCGTTCTATCTCTCCTAAGAAACAAAATTCAACATTAAGTGTTGTCTGCAAGCAGGGTTTTGTGAGTGTGTAACTGAACACAGTGCTCTGGACTCACCTCTAGTAGCATCCAAGCTGCTTCTTTTAATCAGGTTTCTGATGTCTAACTAAATGGGGTCACAACTCCATAGGATATCACAATGAGTTCATGGGGCATCATAAATACATACAGCATATCCTTGTCTATTGGATAGCTCAAGCTTGTGTAGAAACCAATGTGATATGTTATACCACAAAGAAATGAAAATTATGTGATAATGCATTCACGTTTTGTGGCAAAGTATGTCTGGGACACAATGAGTACATATGTAACTTCCCTCAAGGTTCTTTTGATCCAAAAACTGTAAACACATCTTTCCATAGAATAATCATTTTCACCTAATGGTGTTTTCATGCTAGAACATATGATGGTGTAAGAAACATTTACCCCAAATATTGCTAAGAAACAAACTTTTAGGAATAAGCCACCAAGACTTCTTCTTGCATTGGGAAGGCAACAGTGGTATCTTAGGCCAATAAACTGCATCATATCCTCTTTTTGCAGCTTCCAGATAATACACTTATTTTTGTGTAATCTCTGCAAACAAATGGTCCCATTTATTCTTAGGCATATTACCCACTAGAGAAATATTGCCTTCCATGGTATCATGGTGTCAGAGCTTAGCTGCTTGCTTCATGATTTTTGGCAGATCATAGTTAGTGCTACAATTAAAAAGTTCACACTGACAGTGGCAAGGAAGGAATGTCTAAATGCTTTAGAGTGCATAAGTAAGCAAGGTGACTACCACCAGGAGTCATTAGTCATTGTCATTCCTTGTACAATGATACTGCCACCTAACATTGGAAGAAATAGAAACCACGTCACAATATGAAATTGAGTATTTAATTAATGGCAAAGAATATAAAAAGAAAAAAAAATAAGGAAGAAAGAAAAAACAAAATTGAAAAAAGGAACCGCTATTTAGGCTAGTCATAAAGTCACACATTCATTATCTCATCATTCCAGTGAGCTTGGAGTGCATTTCTGCTGTACTAAAGTGTGATTCATGAATTTTTATTCATTCAAAATTAGTTTTGTAACAACTACTCTTTTATACAGTCTCTTCCAGGGAATAATGGTTCTCTTTGTTTTTATGAAGCAAAAAACTTATTGAGTTCCTACATGTCCTCACATTGCTCATATGGCTGGGAAGAAATGATACGCCTGAGTATTTTAGTGGCTTCTAGGAAGCTGGAGTTGGATAGAAACCAATTAAATGATAATTGTGTTTCTGAATTCTACATTAGTGGTGAACCCAGGTTTGCAGGCACCAGTGAAACACATCTACTAAAATCAGGTCAAGGAGACCTGGGAGCTATCACAGTCAGCAAAGGACCTAGAGTGTGAGCACTGGGACCTGGGTTTGATTCCCAGGAATGATGGGGGAAAGCTGGGCATGGGACAAGCTTCTGTAATCCCAATGTTGGGAAGGTAGGGAGAAATGAAACCCCTGGGCTCTACTAGATAAATAACCTAATCTGCTTGGCAAGATCCAGGTCAATGAGAGATCCTGTCTCAATACACAAAGTGAATGATAACTGAGATAGGAAACCTGAGGTGGACTTCTGGCATACATATGTGTGTGAAAACACTAGTGCATCTTCACACACACACACACACACACACACACACACACACACACACACCTGGACAGAATAAGGGTACCATCTATACACTTCTAAGTGCTTTTATTATATGTTTAGTGTGACTCTAGTACTGTGTGAACTTCATTGATATTAAGTTTTCTCACTAAAATATTAGGAAGGAGTTACAAAGTCTAGCACATTTCCTAACTTCCATGGGTAACTTAAAAATATGACCAATTTATCTTTATACCAGGAAAAATGGAACCAGTATTAAACCATAGGAAGGCTGGCTCTAATAGAGAAATGATGACTAACTCTTTGAAAGGCATACAGCAGAGGACCAGCCCTTCACAGAGAGCACAAATAACATGTATGTTGTCAAGTAGGCATAGGGATGTGGTTAGGATTAGTAGTGTATACAGATCAACAGGCTAAATCTTAGAATCAAGACACAGACAGTGAAAGAGGTTATAAAAGGGGTAATTTGAGAGAGATAAAGGAAGCAGGATTTTTTTCTCCTCTAAAGCAATGACAATTCACTGTCAGGAAGGAGAAGGGATGGCCTTTGCATTTCAGAAAAAAACAAATTCTTAAAAGCGTATTCACAAGTAACATTATACATACTGAACATATTACTTAGAAATAATAT